CAAGTTGCAATGTATACATTGCACTGCAATATTTTTATTAAATAATAATTAAAATAAATAATAAACAAAATGTGTACAATAGCTCAAGAATAAGTAGATAAAAACAATTATAATTTAATAAGAAGCAAGTGGTCTCGCGGACTGAGTGCAGGGGCTGCGGATATGGGCTTGCGAAGGTCTCGAGTTCAAATCTCACTAATCACCTTAGGATTTTTCAGGTCCGATTTCTTTCAATGGAGTTCATCGGTTGATCGGCGAGCTGTATCAGGCCTTCAAAAACTAATTCGAGTGAAATCTCGAAATTCCCCTCATTTTTAAAACTTTTGCAAGAGATATCAGTTGCATGTTTTTGATGTGGACATTAGCAGTCTCAGGCATATCCCTGAGATATTATTTGAACATCATTACTCGTTCGAAAATGTCTCAACGAGATATCTTTTGCACATTCAAAGTCTCTGTGAGATATCTTCAAGACATCTTAAATACATCATTGTGCCGTCTGGGTAAATAATGAGAATAACTATAGATGGAGCTACAGATCACACAACACATAAAACTGTTCTATACTCTCAGTACCGACGATAACTAGTATGTAACAACACATTCGTTAACACTCTAAAATTTGTCGTTATTATAAGAAATGTTGTACAGAATTGTAAGTTTCTTAATTTAGTGTGATATATTGTGTTGTATATTCTACTGTTATTTTTCATTATTAACAACAAATTATATTTTGTACACACCAGACAAAACACTGAAGATGATTTGATACAATAAAGTCGAAACGTTTGAACAATAAACATTGGAATTTTATTGCAAAACACTCTGCAACCGGTTCGATAAGCCTGTTACTTAAATTTAAATTTTATTTTTAAATAATGATATAAAATTGTCAAATAAATGTATAATAAAGTTTAACAGATCTCGATCATTCATGTTCAAGAAACGTCCAGAGAACGATAGAATGTCCTTTGAAAAAAATCAACATTTACTATAGATAATAGACAAAGTAGATATCCTCTAGACATCCAGTAGTTATCCAGAGAACATTTATATTTTTTATATTATATAAAAATTTTAAATTAGATTAAATTTTCTATATAATTAAAAGTAATTATGTATGCATAGTAAATTTTCATAAAATACATTTATAATGATATCTTAAAATGTCCTGTAAATGTCCTGAGCCGTCTTGGATATTGTTAGGATCCTAAGGACGTATTGTCCTATATGGGTTTTGTGATGTAATTTTCTCGAAGACTGGGACGTAGTTGTCCGAGGGCTGGACAATGTTTCTTGCTCAAGTGATTTGACAGTAGACTGCTTTTTTTGAAACTTGCTTCTCTGGATTTCTTTCTTAGGCATATCAGACAAAGACGAAATTTTTTGAGATGTACGTTTCACAGGAAATTGTAACTGCTTCTGTGACACCATTAGTGTGGATGTAGTTGGATCAACTTGAGCTTTCTTTGTTAGAAGAGTTGTTGGAAGAAGATCTGAACTCTGCGTACCTTCTTCATAATCAGAACCATGAAATTGTAATACTGGTGATGCCTTTATAGATGGCTTTGAGAGAGAATAATTTTTGTTTCTATCACTCGTGAACAACTGCTTTCTAAAAACTTTTCGCCCTCGTGAAGATTTGACACGATCATCTTCTTTGGCAGAATCCAAATCAGTAGTATTTACGCCTTTCCTTACGCCTTCAACAGCATTTAAGTATAAATCTGGGGCCATATTCAATAGATAAGGTGTATGAAGGATTAAGAAGAAAGATATCTGGGTCCCGATTCTTTAACTCATTTGTAAGAGAAACGTATGCGCAAACTTAAAATTACGAGCGCTTAAATATAGAAAATCTATAGGAAAGTGCTCGTAACTTTGAGTTTGCACATACATTTCTTTTACAAGTGAGTTAAAGAATCAGGCCTCTGTTGGATGGTACATATAACCAGCAAGCCTACCATATTCATGAAGTATTTCACTAAATGGCCATTTATCATAGTCTTTATTAGGGTTCGATTGATCAGAAACAGCTTTCTGGATGAGTCTGACTTTAGGCGCTAAGGCCACTAACATTGCTTTTCATCTAAAATAAGCCAGCACGATGGAGCCATAGCTACTTCTGGCATTCCACTTTCATCTGGAGGAGAGAACTCCAATACAACAAATGCTTTCATGTCTGAAAGAAATAGAGAATGAGCACTTAAAATATCTGCAACTTGAGATCCAACAGATCTACAAGAGTGCTTGAGACACGCGTAACAAGTAAATACTTGCTAAAATCATTTTCCATACCTCTCTACATATATGCAACATTTTTATAGCTATACGATCATTTCCATATGGCAATTACCTTTCCTCCAATATTATTTAATGAAAGAGGAACATTTGTACGGTTCCAATCACCAAATTTTATTCCACCATTCAATTCAATTCCCAACTTCCTTGATTGTATGGGATTTTCAAAAAAGTCATCAATGCCATCGCAAACATCAGCTAACAAATATTTTGCCATCTATTTTTATGATTTTTTGCACTTGTGCTATCCCATTCTCATTTTGGACACAGAAAAATTAATCTTTCGGTCTCTTAGTAAGAGTAAACGTTGAGTTTGAAAGTTTTTTGTACTCATTAGGTCCAGAATAACCTGATGGTGAAAATAATGTGGATGGCGTCTTTTCCAGCTCATAAGAAAGTCAGTTTCTGCCAATCGTCTAACAACTCAGGTAGCAAAATGCGTCTAGAATTTCTGCAAAACTGATGTCTACAATTGAGAATAATTAGTTATTTATTGGTCTAACTGTATCCGTAGAATAGAGCAATTTTAAATCACTTCCATGTAGAAAAAAATATTCTCAATTATTGTCCAATTCTATATCAATGGAATGTAATTGTTGCGACTTAGTGGATAATATGAGAGATAATATTAGATAGTTTTTCCAAAAGGTTCATTTACAATGTTTTTTTATATGGCCTACCTTTCCACATTTATGACACTCAATTTTTTGACTTTGTGTTTTACTATCCTTTCCTGTCTGCTTTGATATTAAGGCATTTTGACCAATTTGACTTGCATCTTTGCTTTCATTTAATCTGTCTTCTTCCGAACGTAAAAGTTCAAAAAGTTTACTTAAATTTTTATCTCCACTGTTAATACAGCCCTAACAAGTTCGGAAATGATATAACTTTGGTGGCAACATATTTAAGATTCTGGACATAATCCAACTTTCTTTAATTTCTTCATCTTCAGCAGTCAGTTTATCAGAATATTGTTGGATTTGCATACAATTTTCAATGACAGACTTACTTTCATCGTACTTGTAACTAAAAAATAATCTTTGCAAACTTTCAATAGTAATATCTGATTTTTTTCTGTACAATGTTTCTAACTTTTTAAGCATCGAACTCGCAGTCGTACAATTACAAATTTTCTTTGCTATATCGCCACTTACATTTAATCCTATTAACGATTGAGCTTCGATGTTCTTCTTCAACCAAACCTTGACTATTGCTTCCGTCTCTACTCCGCGCGGCCTAGCCTCAACACCAGTTGCGACTTGAAATAAATCCTTCGTTTTTAAGATTAGATTCAACTTGAACTTCCATGACTTGTAGTTTACTCTGCCTCGACTATCTTCAGCAAGATTCTCTAATTGAGATTTCACTGTAACCATGTTTCAATTGTTATCTTAATCTCTCATATAATCTGGATTATGCTCATAACCTGTTGCGACTTAGTGGATAATATGAGAGATAATATTAGATAGTTTTTCCAAAAGGTTCATTTATTAACCCTTCTCTGTATATGTATTGTTACGCGAGGGTCACCGCGTATGTGTCGCGGGAGCCGCGTGAACGGCGCGCGCTCGGCGCAATTGTTCGTCGCTGGGCGACGACGGTTGTTTAAAAGAGAGAAGTAACAGAGACGCGAAGCTGTCACGACGCATTCATAAATCCGGTTGGATTCTTTGTACTAATTGCTGTATCTTGAGCCGTAATAAAGTGTTTATTAAGAAGCCACGTTCTCTCATTTCCGCGGGGCGAGTGCGTGTTTCGCGACGTAGTTTTAGCGCGGCCGCGAACGCAACAATTTGGGGGCTCGTCCGGGATCTGAAAGTTCGAGCTAGAGAAAACGACGGAATAACTCTTGTTCACTCGCCGCGGAGAACGCGTAACCAGACTGCGACTGGAGCGGGCGAGGCGCCGGTGGCATCGGCGACGGCGGCGGAAAGAGAGACTTTGCGTGCGATCTTGGAGGAGCGGCGACAGGAGAAGGAGGAGATGCGTCGTCTGGAGGCACGCGTTCGGCAGGAAACATCAAGCGAGTCGTCTTCTAGTTTGTTGTCCGGTCGGGCGGGCGAGTTAGTTAAAATGAAAATTAAGCCCGACGTGTTCGATGGGAGCGTGCCGTGGCGTGAATTTTTTGTGCAATTCGAGCTGGTTGCTCGTGCGAACGGGTGGGACGACGCGGCAAAAGCCACGGTTCTCGCCACTAGTTTGAGAGGGGGGGCGCGCTCGATTCTAGAAGGGTTAGAAGAAAATTTTAGTTTTCAAGAGATTTGCGCGAAATTGGAATTGCGGTACGGAGAGCGTGGAATTCAAAATTATTATATGCAATTTACGAATCGGAAACAGAAGAGCGGGGAAGATTTTGCTGCACTTGGGGCAGATTTGGAGCGATTGGCCCGTCTTGCTTACCTGGAATGCTCCTACGAAGTCCGGGACAAAATCGCTTGTGCGTAATTCATCGTTGCGCTTTCTGACAGATTCGTGAAGCGGACGCTTCAATTAGAAAATGTTTCTTCGTTACGAGTCGCGGTTGAGCGGGCGAGGGCGGTAAAAGTTATTCAGGAAGGTAACTTTGAAGGGGGAGGAGATAAGAGGCGAGACGGGAAGGATTTTAAACGGTCTTCTTATGGAAATTGGAAAAGAGGAAAGGCCGAAGACAGGCGTGAGGAAGGAGAGAAGGCTGTGACTAAAAATGAGAGGGAATGTTGGAAGTGCGGAAAGAAGAGGCACTTTCGCTTTGAGTGTCCGGCTAATTTGTCGGGAAACAAGACTTAGTCGAGCTTCCGGGGGTGGGCTCGGCTGTGGGGTGGAACACCCCGGAGAAGTTGTTTTCTGTCAAAGTTAATAATAATAAGAAAAATAATTTATTTGTTTATTTCGGTTTGCTGAATGGAAAACCGTGTTGTTTTAAATTTGACACGGGCTCCGATGTGTCTATCGTGAATTGTAATTTCGTAGGGAAGTCGCAATGTCAAAGGTTGTCGGGAAAGCCGAGATTGAGATATCCTACCGGTGAGGAAGTTCCGGTTCAGTTAGAATGTGTGGCTCGAGTGGTTGTAGGGGGACATTCTTTAAATATGCCTTTTTACGTGGCGAATATACTTGATGAATGTATTCTAGGGTTGGACTTCTTCAGGAAGACAGGTCTGAGCAGGGCGTTGGAGTCGCTCTTTGTTGCTCCCTCGAATGAGTCGAGAATGTCTTGTTGTCGGGTGTGTGACGCTTCCGGGGAAGTTCCGGCTAATCTAAAAGATTTTTATAAGCAGAATTCTGTTGATCTGAATGAAGTGCAGAGAGATATATTTGCTAAGTTCGTGATTGAATTTCAGGATATCTTCTCTGATCAGATCGTGGCTGGGAACTGTGATGTTCTGCAGCATGAGATAAATCTTCAAGATCCACGCCCGATAAAGCAAGCTCCGAAGAGGATCCCGGTAGGAATGCGGGCTGAGGTGGAAAGGGTTCTTCAAGAAATGAAGGATCAGGGAGTCATTGAAGAGTCTTTTGGCCCATGGGTTTCTCCGGCGGTTATTGTAAAGAAAAAGGACGGCTCTTTGAGGTTCTGTGTGAATTATCGCAAATTAAATGCGGTTACGATCAAGGATTCTTTTCTTCTTCCTAGAGTAGATGATCTTCTAGATCAGTTGTCCGGGAACGAATGGTTCTCCACTCTGGATATGAAAAGTGGGTACTGGCAATTGAAGATTCGGCCAGAGGATAGGGAAAAAACTGCTTTTTCGGTAGGCAATGGGCTGTGGCATTCACGGTAATGCCTTTTGGCTTGTGCAACGCTCCGGCCACGTTTGAGCGCTCGATGGAGCGAGTTCTCCAGCAGTTGTTGACTAAGATTTGTTTGGTTTATCTAGATGACATCGTTGTGTTCGGTAAATCTTTTAAGGAGGAAGTAACTAATTTGAAGAAAGTTTTTCTGAGACTCAGGGCGGCTAATTTGAAACTTAATCCTAAGAAATGCAATTTGTTTAGGAAACAGGTGAAATATCTTGGCCATGTGATTTCAGCTGAAGGGATCTCGGCGGATCCGGAGAAAATTACAGCTGTGAGAGAGTGGCCTGTTCCACAGAATAAAAAGCAGGTTCGCAGTTTTCTGGGATTTTGTTCTTATTATCGCAAATTTGTTAAAGGTTTTTCTTTGATAACAAAGCCCTTATTTACTTTGACTGAAAACCAGATGAAGTTTGCTTGGACTGAGCAATGTCAGGAGGCGTTTGCAAATCTTGAGCAGACGTTGTCTTCTCCTCCTGTGCTCTCTTTTCTTCTTGAAGAAGGAGAGTTAATTCTGGACACTGATGCTTCTGGCCATGGTGTTGGCGCGGTTTTATCGCAGGTTCAGCGGGGGACGGAGAAAGTCATCGCTTATTATAGTCGGGTATTGAATAAGGCTGAGAGGAATTATTGTGTTACTCGGCGCGAGTTATTGGCTATGGTTGATTCAATATGATCTTTCCATCACTATCTGTATGGGCGGAAATTTCGGGTTCGAACTGATCATGCGTCCCTTAGATGGTTGATGTCTTTTAGAGATTTAGAGGGTCAGGTAGCTCGCTGAGCGGAAAGACTTCAACAATATGACTTTGAGATAGTTCATCGGAGTGGTCGAGCGCATGGGAACGCGGATGGGCTTTCCAGGCGACCTTGTGCGGAGTCTTGCTGCAAATATTGTTCTAAGGTTGACGTCAGAGACGCCTTGAAGGAACGGGTAGCTCGGATAGTTTTTGAAGAGTTTGCGTCTGAGGAATGGCGAAAGGATCAGTTGGAAGATCAGGCCGTATCGATTATTTTACAGGGAAAATAAAAAGGTTGTCGTCCCTTTTGGGAAGAGGTGTCCGCTAGAGGCCCGTCTTCGATGATCTACTGGTCTCATTGGGACGCTTTAGTTGTTTTGGATGGAGTTTTGCATAAGAAGTGGGTAGCTCCGAATTTAAAGTCGAGTTTTTTTCAGGTTATTGTTCCTCGGAAGAGAGTTGAGCAAATTTTAGAAGAAGCTCATGATGCCCCTTCTGGGGGTCATTTCGGAATAAATAAAACGTTAGGAAAAATTCGTAAGCGGTTATATTGGGCTTCGTGCAAGAGGGATGTCGAGAATTGGTGTAGGTCTTGCAAAGTTTGTGTAGCAAAAAAAGGCCCTGCGACAAGGGTAAATCTCCGTTGCAAGTTTTTGCCGGTGCGCCTTTTGAAAGGTTGCAAATGGACATTCTGGGTCCTTTTCCGGCGTTTTCTTCAGGGAATAAGTATCTCCTAGTGGTTGTAGATTGTTTCTCCAAGTGGGTGGAGGCTTTTCTTTTAAAGAATATTAGGGCGTCGACTGTGGCGGAGGTTTTTGTCAATCAGATAGTTTCTAGATATGGGGTTCCGTTGGAATTACATACGGATCAGCAAGGTTGGGTAGTGTCTAGTTAAAAAGATAAAAGTTAAGTTAAAAAGTTAAAAAGTTAAATAATTTTAACTTTATCTAGTTACATTTTTAGACTCTTATTTTTTAACTTTATTTAGTTATATTTTATCGGTAACTAGTAACTTTTTATTTCAACTTTCTTGAATCTACTATAGCCATAAGATTTTGTATTTGTTTGCATACAAAACGGAACATATTTTGTCGTATGATCATAATTAATTTTACATGTTTATAGGCCGAAAAATTCGACCAATCACAAAGCTTAGAATGATTCATTTTATATGCGAATAAATTCGTACGTGTTCGAGAATTGAGCCAATAAACGCTGGTCGTAAAATCCAATGCAATTCACGTAATCGTCAGTGTTTACGATTGTAAGACGTTTATAAGATGCGTTCCGTTTCATATACGCGCATTTGTCCATAGTAAACATTACGTATAGTATATAGATCATGTGCGCATATGCAAAAAAACTGAATGTTCATAGCATGCTGCAGCAAAAAAGGGGATGCGCACAACAGCTGACAACAGCAGGGGTATGTTCCAAAATCCTACTTTGGTTACCAAAAACTATAGTACACGTGACGTGAAATATAGCATTTTTTCCATTATATGTAAGATTAAAACACT